ACCAGTTAAGATCTGCAAAACTAGATTTGTTAAGATTTTATCTGGTAGCAGTTTGGACTTCTTAATTATAAGTAAATCGAAATGTAAAGATTAAACAGAAATTACATTGCATATTTAAGTCATACACAAAATAGGAGCATATTAAAAAGGGATGGAGATAACTGCCCTTCATGCCTGTAATCCTAACTACTCAAGAGGCTGAGATCTGAGTATTACTGTTCAAAGCCACCCTGAGCAGGAATCGGTGAGACTCATCTCCAATTAATCACCAAAAAAAATTTGGAAGTGGAGCTATGGCTCAATGATAGAGTGCTAGCCTTGAGCAAAAAGCTCAGGGACAAGATTCAGGCCCTGAGTTCAATTTCCAGAACTGGTACACAGAAAAGAGGGGAGAGAAATTAGCAGAAAAGAAGGCAGAGAAGAAATCTGTATTTTCTCATACATACATTTGGCCAGTTCTACTGTCAATATTTCTGCAAAATAAACACAGTAAGAAGGACAAGGCACAGGGCCTGTGGTAATTCTCTTTGTGACAAATCGATTTGACTTAGTTCAGTCACAAAAGGGGATACAGCCACATAGGCAAACACCTTCAACATCTGGAATACTAACTTGGGAAGAAAACTCCATTTGGAATAGGAAGGGAGTGGCTCACACCTATAATTCTAGCTAGTTAGGAGGCTAAGATCTGAGGATCACAATTCAAAGCCAGCCAGGGCAAGAAAGTCCCTGACACTCTTAATTCCAATTAACTACCAAAAAGCTGGAAATGGAACTGTGGCTCAAGTAGTAGAGCACTAGCCTTGAGCAAAGAAGCTCAGGGACAGTACCCAGGCCCTGAACTTCAAACCCCAGGACTGCTACAAAAAGAAAGAAGAAAAGAAGGAAGAAAGGAAGGAAGGAGAGAAAAAGAGAGAGAGAGAGAGAAAGAAACAAAGACAGAAGAGAGAGAGAGAAAAAGACCAGGTACCAGTGGCTCATGCCTATAATCCTAGCTACTCAGAAGTCTGAGATATGAGGATCTCCATTCATAGCCAGTTCAGGCAAGATAGTGCATGAGACTCTTATTTCCAGTTAATCACATAAAAAACTGGATGTAGAGCTGTAGCTCAGTAGTAGAGTGCCAGCTTTGAGGAAATAGAAGCGCAGGGACAGGATCTCATCCTCCTGAGTAGCTAGGATTACAGGTGCAGCCACATGTACCCAGTCACATTTTTTAATAGGTATGGGCTACAGATTGAGGCACAAAGAGAAAAATCGCATTTTGCAATTTTACCTATTTTAATAATATCTCTCTCAATTATTGAAACAATAACACCGAAGGAAGACTTACTTCTTTACATCTGTCTATGTCTGAATATTTGGTATAAAGTGGATTTAAAAAAACAGCTGTGTTGTTTACTAGCTGATTTCTTTGTGGGATATGTGGAATTCATAAGTTGAATGTTACCCTAGATACTTTTATTTAGCCAGTTTAGATTAACAAGATAAAATCTACCCTCTGGAACTATGTCTCAATTAAGATCGTAGAGAACTTGTTTAATAATTTTATTCTTACTAACAATCGTGGTTAGAAATAAGATTCATCAGAGGTTTTCATTTTGTTAAACCTTTCCTGGGCTTTGTGTGGATGATAATGGATAATATAGAAGATGATGGATTGAATACTGCTTGGAACAACTGGGAAAGCTAAAATACTTTAGTGAAGGAGAGGAAAGAAAAAGATGGACAGACGGACAGACAGACAGATAGATTTTTTTTTTCTTTCCACATGCCAGTCCCAGGGCTTGAACTCAGGGCCTGAGCACTGTCCCTGAGCTTATTTGCTCATGGCTAGTGCTCTACCACTTTGAGCCACAGCACCATTTCTGGGTTTGTTTGTTTGTTTGTTTGTTTGTGGTTAACTGGAAATAAGAGTCTCACAGACTTTCCTGCCCTGTCTGGCTTCAGACTGTGATCCTAAGATCTCAGCCTCCTCAGTAGCTAGGATCACAGACTTGAGCTAGTGGTGCCTGGCTAGTGAGAATTTTTTTAAGTCTAAATTGTGTGTTTATGGCTAGAATTTTTCATTGGTTGCCTGTGACAAAACAGTCACCAACAAACAAACCTGGAGTTTTCAAAGTGACAGGCTACACAGCTGGAAGCTAGTGTATCATTTCCCAGTGCTGATGGAAGCAGGTGCTAGTGGAATCTTAAAATGGTGGCTCACTCCTGTAATCCTAGCAACTCAGGAGGCTGAGATCTGAGGATCCTGGTTCAAAGCCATCCCAAGCAGGAAAGTCTGTGAGACTCTTATCTCCAATAAACCACCAGAAAACCAGAAGTGGAGCTGTGGCTCCAAGTTGTAGAGTGCTAGCCTTGAGCAAAAAAGCTCAGGGACAGTGCCCAGGCCCTGAGTTTAAGCCCTACAACTGACAAAAAAAAGAGCCTAGACAGAAAGCATCATTATTTCCATTACAACTGGATCTTCCATATTATATTTATTTAACATTCATCTAATTATACCTTTCGGATGTTAAAAATAACATCTCAAAACTAAAAGCTTCAAAGTCCTATGTTGGTTTTCACCATTGTAAAAATGACAGTAGCCTCCTTAATCTTAAGGATAAAGCAGGTTGAAGTTGTGCAACCATATTTATGTTTTAAATCAGGCCAAACCACATTGTATATGCTACCAGATTAAAAAACTTGATTTTCTTATACACAAAGTTTGAGCCAATTATCCTTCACGTGTGTGTGCGTGTGTGTGTGTGTGTGTGTGTGTTTGTGTGTGTGTGTGTGTGTGTATGTTTGTGTGTGTGTGAGAACTGTATGTAATATATATGTCTTATATATGGGAAGAACAGAGCATAAGATAGAAAAGAGAAGGAAAGAGAGGAGAAGGGAATGAAGGCAAAGAAAGGAAGGCCAGGGAAGAGGAGGAGAGGGAAGGGAGAACAGGAAAGGGGAAGAGAAAGGAAGGGGAAGGAGGAGAAAGTTAAGCATGTGATAGGGCTAACATTTAACTTCAGCCCTGCCTGTCCATGGTCCTGATTCTGAACATTTTATAATGGCCTTCAGAGTAAGTTTTGTCACAAAACAAGTAAACCACGCCAGGCCTCATGCTTGTTAGGCTAGTGGCTCTACCACTTGAGCCATGCCTCCAGCTTAGTACAAAATTTAAGCTCAGAAGACAATCCTCTCTTTAAAGTAATTGCTGAAGCACAATATTCAAGAGTCTGAGAGAAGTCAGTAATTGAATTGGTTGAAATTAGACATGCATTCGAATTCAGGAAAGGTAAAAGTTTCTGAAGAGTGGAATGTTGTTAAAAGTACTGTTAGAAGCCTGAACAGATTGAGTCCCAGTTCTTTTCAGGAATTCAATATATTTAATGATCTATAAACAGAAAATGTAGAACATTGCTCCAGGTCCTACTTAGGCCAGTTTCCCATAGCTCCCATCTTTATGTCTATATAACAATTAGAGCGAGAGCCAGGCTCTGGTGGCTCACTTCTCTAAATCTTAGCTACTCAGGAGACTAAAATCTGAGGCCCACAGTTCAAAGCTAGCCCAGGCAGGAAAGTTCATGAGACTCATCTCCAATTAACCACCAAAAAGCTAAAAGTGTAGCTGTGACTTAATTAGTAGAGCACTAGCTTAGAGCAAAAAAAAAAAAAAAAAAGCTTAGGGACAGCATCTAGGCCCTGATTCAAGCCTTAAGACTGGAATACTCACCCCTCATGTGCACGCGTGCACGCACACACTCACACACACACACACACACACACACACACATGTACACAAATTAAAGCTAATAATGATAAGCCCATTTTCCATGTGAGAGATGCTTATGGAAAACATGGTCATCAACCCATACATAGAAAGAAAGATCAGAATGCAGTTCCAGAGCCCAGCTACCCATCAGGACCCTGAGGGTTTTAGAGGTAACCAAATACCTTGTCTTACATAAAGAGTGAAAACAGAGTTAAAACTATATTAAGCTGGGTGCTGTGGCTCATACCTGTAATCTTAGCTACTCAGAAGGCTGAGGCCAAGAGGATCACAGTTTAAGGCTAGCCCAAGCAAAAAGTCTGTGACATGCCTGTAGTCCTAGCTACTCAGGAGGCTGAGATCTGAGGATTGCTGTCCAAGGCTGGCCTGGAAGTAGATTTGTGGCTTAACTGGTAGAACCTAGCCTTGAGCAAAAGAAGCTCAGGGACAGCACCCAAGCCCAGAAAAAAAAGTTTGTGAGACCCTTTCTCAACCAATAGCTGAATGTTGTTATATGTATGTGCTATTCCAGCTATGGTAAAAAGGATAAAATAGGGCCAAGTGCAATCCATGGTCCTGGGCAAAAAAAATAAGACTCTATCTCAAAAGTAACCAATGCAGAAAAGAGCTGGAGGCCTGTCTTAGGAAACCATGCCACCATGCCTGTTCAGCATACATGAGGATCTGAATTCAAATCCCAGTTATCCAACCCCTACTCCTAAGAAAACACTTGCATATTTTTCTTGTTCCTCTATAGACACTGCTATCTGAGAAAAGCAAAAGCAAAAGGGCATATTGGAGGCACTTTTAGTTACAAATTAATATAGCGGCAACTAGATGTCCTGAAAACGACTGTCCCTGTGCCCATTTTGGGGAGTTGGCAATTCCCTTCCCCCCAGGGCTACTATGTGAAGTCATACAGATACACAAATCAAACTGGCAGACCCAGATTTCTGCTTCTGTGGATCAAAAGCCCATCTCTACCTCCTGATACACGCAAGGTGGTGTACAGTATTGTGGGAACACTTCTTACACATTTTAGCATACATGGTGGGGATGTAGCATTGCAGAAATCTTCTAAAAGAAGAAAGTACTTGAACATCTTAAAGCCTATCAGGCTGGTTGGTTTCCTTGGGATTTTTGTTTCTGCCACATGAAGACTGTTTGCTGACAAGGCCTGTGAGCTTTGGTATAAACCTGCATTTTGGGATAGCCAAGGGTATAATGGTCCTATTTCTGTGCCTTTCAGGTACCAGCAAGGTCAACCTTGTGAAAATCGCATCCACAGCCTCCAGCCCTCGAGACACAGCCCTGGCCGCCGTGATCTGTAGTGCGCTGGCCACAGTGCTCCTGGCCCTCCTCATCCTCTGTGTCATCTACTGCAAGAGACAGTTCATGGAGAAGAAGCCCGGCTGTGAGTGCCAAGAGCTGAGTGTTTGCTTAATGGGTTTCTGTTGTTCTTGTTGTACAAGTAGTGGAACTTGAACTCAAGGCCTTGCCATTGATCCTTAGCTCTTGCTTTATCACTTGAGCCACAGCTCCACATCTGATCAGTGTGTGTGTGTGTGTGTGTGTGTGTGTGTGTGTGTGTATGTGTGTGTGTGTGTGTGTGTGTGTGTGTGTGTGTGTGTCCTGGGACTTAGACTTAGGGCCTAGATGCTGTCCCGAGCTTTTTTTGCTAGTGTTCTACCATTTGAGCCACAGCTCCACTTCTGGCTTTTTGGTGATTAATTGGAGATAAGAGTCTCATGGACTTTTCTGCCTGGGCTGGCTTTGAACTGAGACCTTGAGATCTCAGCCTCCTGAGTAGCTCAGATTACAGGAGTGAGCCACCAGTACCCGGCTTCATTTTGAGCTTTCTTAACACTTCTTTTGTATTTGCATTTCCATGTGAGAAGAAATGCAGACAGTCCTCACCTTACCGTAATTCAGCCTATCAGTTTCTCAGCTTTACCGTAATGGTAAAACTTCCAAGGTTTTGTTTGTTTGTTTTACTGTATGAGATATGCAATACTGCATTATAATAGGCTTTGCATTGCATGATTTGCATGTATTGCCCAACCACTGCCTAATGGAAATGTTGGTACATAGGTATGAAGTAGGCAAGGCCAAGCTACAATGTTCAGTTGGTTAGATGGTACAACTGTCTTCAACTTACAAGAAGTTATCAGAACATCAGGAGAAACTGTCATCGAAACAAACATTAAAATATTAAAGTGTAAAACTAAAAACCATTTAATGACAGCTAACTGTTTTCTTTAAAAAATACAAACACAGCAAGATATTGATGGCTTCACGTCTATAATCCTAGCGAGGGAAGCTGATAGTTGAGGATTGCATGCAGTTCAAGGCTAGCCTGGGCAGAGAGGTCCATGAGACTCTAATCTCCAATTAAACACTAAATAACTAAATAAATAATAAAAAATAAAGCAAGATGAGTACTAGTTCATATTATGATGTTAACTCAGGCTCCCGTTAGCGCAATTGTGTCCATTAACAGAATTCTCTCCTTCCCTCTTTTAGGGTCTCTGCGATCACAAGATATTCAGTATAATGGTTCTGAGCTGTCGTGTTTTGACAGACCTCAACTCAGTAACTACGGGCACAGAGCTTGCTGCAAGTGCCATCAGAACTCGGCCCAGACCTACGGTGAGTTTAGTCCTGACGGACTTGGCCCATTGGGTGGCCCATCACAGTGGACATGGCTTTCTAATGGCAGCAAGTGTGTGTGTGTGTGTGTGTGTGTGTGTGTGTGTGTGTGTGTGTGTGTGTGTGTGTGCGTGCGCGCGCGCGCGCGCCAGTTCTGGGGCTTGAAATCAGGGCCTGGGCTCTCTTACTGGACTTTTTCACTCAAGGCTGATGCTCTACTACTTGAAACACATCTCAGCTTTTTTTTTTTTTTTTTTTGTGGCTAACTGTACAAGTCTCCCAGACCTTCCTGCCTGGACTGGCTTCCAACCATGTTCTTCCTATCTCAGCCTCCTGAGTAGCAGGGATTGCATGCATGAGCCTCTGAGCCTGGTGCCTGCTCACATTTTCTTATTTTCCCCTTTTATTGTGAAAGAAAATCCCAGATAACATGACTGAGTTTTGTTCTTAAAATCTCTCTGGTCTCTTAATGTGAGAATGTTCTTTCATCTTTCTGGTGATGTCAAACATCACCAGACATGGATGTTTGTAAAAAAGATCAGACAGAAATTTTGCAGGATGCTCATCAGCTTCAGAAATCAAACTCAGATCAAATTCAGAAATACAAGAGAGGAGACATTATTGGCCTTCTCAGTGTACCAGATCAGCAAGCACAGAGTCCTTCTACCCTGGGCCTGGATAGGATAATCTGAGCCATTTAGTTAAGGAAGCGTCTCCCAGGTCTCTGCACTATAAACTTATTGCTGGCCTTGTAATTAATCAATGTGCTGTGGAGAGACTCAGACTGAAACTCACTCTCTGCTGGCTTTCGCAGGGCCTGTTCACCTGATCCCCTCCCTGTGCTGTGAGGAAGCCTGTGGAAGTCCCCGCTCAGCTCTTGGTTGTGGGGTGCATTTGAAGGCCGCCCCTCATGAGAGGTAACTGCACATTTGATGAACCATTTTGTATTTGCTTTTTCAGGGATGTATTCTACTGAGCTTTCAGTTTACATGGGAAAGTACAGGGGCGCTTTTTTGATATTTCTAGTGATATTGTGGGAATTGGAAGGGGAACAATCAGTTGTGGTTTTTTGTGGGTTTGGGGTTTTTTGTTTGTTTTTTGTTTTTGTTTTTGTTTTGTCTTGAACTCAGGGCCTGGCTAGTACTCTACCATTTTGGGCCACAATTCCACTTCCAGTTTTCTGGTGGTTATTGGAGATAAAAGTCTTATGGGCTTTCCTGCCCGAGCTGGCTTTGAATCACAATCCTCAGATCTCAGCTTCCTGAGTAGCTAGGATTACAGAACTGAGCCACCAGTGTCTGGTTTGTTTTTGTTTTTGTTTTTACTGTTCCTGGAGCTTGGACTTAGAGCCCGGGCACTGAGTCCAAGCTTTTTGTTCAAGGTTACTACTCCACTTCCAGCTTTTTGGTGGTTAATGGGAGATAAGGGTCTTATGGACTTTCCTGCCTGGGATGGCTTTGAACTTGATCCTTAGATCTCAGCTTGCTGAGCAGCTTGGATTACAGGTGTGATTACCACTGGTGCCCAGCCAAGAAGGGAACAATTCTTTGGCAGGAATTAGAAAGGACTCTCATGTTCGCTAATACCTAGTATCACTGTTTATATTTTTTACTGGTTTGCTTGTTTGTTTGCTTATTCTTTCATTCATTTATTATTTTTGTTGCTAGGAGTAGGGATTGAACTTTGGGCCTCACCCTTGCTCAGTTTCCTTGTTTGCATGGTGTTCTACCACCTGAGCCATGCCTCTAGCCCAGCTTATTTTGTTGGTTATTTGGAGATGGAATTTTGCAGACTTTTCTCCCGACATTGGCTTTGAACCATGATCCTCCAGATCTCAACCAGAACCTGAATAGCTAGGATTATAAGCATGCACACCTAGCTTGTATTTTTTGTTTTACATTCATGACATCTCTGTCATTGAGAAGTCATGTTTAACATGTTGCATACTGATGATGTAATATTTTAGAGTCCTAGAACAGCCATCAAAGAAACTTAGCTAAGACCTAGGAGGAACAGAGAAAGAAAGAAAGAGAGAGAGAGAGAGGAAGGAAGGAAGGAAGGAAGGAGAAAGCAAGCAAGCAGGGAGGGAGGGAGAGGGGACGGAAGGAAGGAAGGAAGGAAAGAAGGACGGAAGGAAGGAAGGAGGGAGGGAAGGAGGGACGGAGGGGGAAAATAGCTTTGACCTTGGAAACTAATAATGCCAGATGTAGAAAATCAGGCTTAAGATAGTAAATCACTACTGTCTGTTCATCAGTAGTCTGACTTACTACCTGCCAGTTGCTCTCTAAGACTTGAGATTATAGCAGACACACTGCATTGAAGTTGTATCATTTGTTGCCACCAAATACTCAAAGATCTTCTCTACGTGTGTTCAGAAGCACAGCCCCAATTGGGGAGGCGATGCCGGCTCTCTTTGGGACCCTTTCCCGGTCCACGTGTGGTGAATATTCCGACGCTTGGCCCCTGATGCAGAATTCCATGGGTGGCGATGACATCTCCTTGTGTGACTCCTACCCTGACATGACTGGGGAATGTCGTCCCCTTGATCCAGACAACGAAAACTCAGTATCTTTGGATTCAAACAGTCAAGAAGTGGTTGGGGGAGCTGTTCTCCTTTCAGCTCATTCTGGAAGCTTCTCAGGACCTACTGACTTCTCCAGATACAAGGATACAACCATGGACTCCACGCTGGCTCAGGATGCACTGACTGCTCAAAGCCAGCTAAGTCAGGAGGTTGGTGACACCATGCAGTTAACCACCCTGCCATCTTGTCAGGTGAGGCACCGGTTTGTGGTAGATTAGAATGTTCTAATTCAGTTCCCACCACAAAATGTGGGGATACTTGGGGAGGTTTTCCATTGTTCCTCATTTCTTTTTTTTATTGATGGTAGTGGGACTTTTGAACTCAGGACTTTGCACTTGCTAGACTGGTGTGCTATCTCTAAGCCACACCTCCAGCCCCGGTTCTCACTCATTATTTTGAGGATAGGATCTCACTTCCTTCCTATCCCATCCCAGACAGGGACTGAAAACAGTGTATCAAACTTCCCTCTCTATGAAAATGGCCTTACACGATTTTTTTAAAAATCCTAGAACCATGATCCTCCCAACCTTAACCTCTCCTGTAATAAATCTATTATGTAAATAAAAGAAGAAGCCCAGAATACATTCATAGATGAGGGAGAGGAGAAGAGAGTTGTTGTTAAACTCAGGTCTAAATAACCAGGCTGTGAATGGAGGATACTAGAGTATTGTGCATAAAGATATCACACGAGCCAGGCAGAGGGGACAAGCTCAAAGCTGGGCAGGCTTCGTGGCACACTACATAGCTAGAGGCAGGGGAGAGGCAGGGTGAATGGGGCACTTGGCTGTGTTTTGTCTGGATGAGGCTGTGCCGTTGCTGAATTTGCCTTCCTGCACCCTGAGAGCGGAGAAAGCTCTGGACACATACTGCTCATGCGCATGCTCCTGCATGTGCAGCCCCTCACTTCCTGCCACCGCACCGCCCCCCCCCCCCCCCCCCCCCCCCCCGCTTCCATGAGACTTTGCATATCAGACACATAGCTAACGTCAAAACATGGTGCAAGTGCAGGTGTGTTTCTTGTATAATCGGCTGCAAAGTAATCTAAATGTGCCATGTTTTTGTCTTCTTTTGAACTCCCAAGAAAGTTTCTAGAGAATTTATAGAAGCAGAAGAAGAAGAAAAAAAAAAACCTAGTTAGCTTTGAAGGGGAGAAAAATGTTTTGGTCTCCACATGGAGGAAATGAAGAAGAGATACATAAAACAAATTAAGCAAATAAACACAACCCACATACACTTGACGCCTATTTTTTTATATGAAAGATTGTTTACTGATGTTATTTTTGAGTCATCCCATAATTTGTACAACTTTCATGATGATAAAGAAGACAAAAGATTGCTTGAGTATAAGTCTCAACCAAGAACGGACTATGGCTGGCCACTAGTGGCTCAACCTGTAATCCTAGCTACTCAGGAGACTGAGATCTGAGAATCACAGTTTGAAGCCAGCCCCGGTAGGAAAGTCTGTGAAACTCTTATCTCCAATAAATTACCAAAATGTAAAAATGGAGCTGTGGCTCAAGTGATAGAGTGTTAGCCTTGGGTAAAAGAAGTTCAGGGACAGTGCCCAGGCCCTGCATTTAAGCCCCAGGACAGAAAGAAAGGAAAGGAAGGGAGGGAGGGAAAGAAGGGAGGGAGGGAAAGAAGGGAGGGAGGGAAAGAAGGGAGGGAGGGAAGAAAGGAAGGGAGGGAGAGAAGAGAGAGAAAGAAAGAGAAAGAACAAAGAGAATGAAAGAAAAAAGAGAAAGAGAAAGAAAGGAGAGAGAGAAAGGAGAGAGAGAAAGGAGAGAAAGAAAAGGAAGAGAGACTACTAGTTTCTGAAAAGTACTTTCTCTTCTATTGCATTTAATAAATCAGAAATATAGTGAATGAACTTTTAATGTTCAAAAGAAAATAGGAAGTGACAGCTACTACAAATCTCTATGGGGTATGGATGTCTTCTATCAAAGGACCAACCAAGTGTTTTGTTGTTGTTGTGTTGTTATTGTTTTGCCAATCATGGGGCTTGAACTTGGGGCCTAGGCACTGTTCCTAAGCTCTTCTGCTCAAAGTTAACTCTCTACCACCTTGAGGTACAGTTCCACTTCCAGTTTTCTGGTGATTAATTGGAGATAAGACTCCCACAAACTTTTCTGCCCCAGCTGGCTTTGAACCATGATCCTCAGATCTCAGTCTCCTGAGTAACTAGGATTACAGGCGTGAGCCACCAGCACCCATCTCAGCAAGTATTTTAACTCAACTTGCTTTATTTATTTATTTACAGACTACTAAGTTCACATTTCTCCCTAACAGGCTATTTTCCAAGACAGAGAACCTAGTTCCTTCTTCTAAAGAATTTCTGGTTTTTTGACTTTATAACAGAATTCAGAATTCAGGAAGGCACTGGAGTACTGATTGGGTGACCATACGTAGGAAGGAAGCCACAACAACACTTAAGTTTTTATTTGGTGAAAGGCTGTGATTTCTAACACACTGAAGAAATAAGTTTTAAATGTCTGAACGAGACTGACAATCAGCAGAAGAATTTGTTATTGAGTCATCATGATTGTTGTGGGTTATAGTTTCATCTTTTAAGTAAACTTGGCAAATAAGAGCACCTATGTGTTGAAATTAGAACGTTTAGCTTACTCTCAGAAGACAAGGTTACTGGTATATTTGCATTCTGCTAGATTCCCTTCTCGTCGATGAAGTATCAACTCATGGATCTAACTAATAACTACAGTTTTGTTTTTTTTTTTTTTGTTTTTTTTTTTTTTTTGTCAGTCGTGGGGCTTGAACTCTGGGCCTGGGCGCTGTCCCTCAGCTCTTCAGCTCAAGGCAAGCGCTCTACCACTTGAGCTACAGCGCCACTTCCTAATAACTACAGTTTTGCATACTCAATTAATTATAGTTATTCATAATCAGTTTTTGCAATGTTCACTTAGTCATTTTAACATGGAAGTCTTGTCTTAAAAGCTTACCTCTGTGACTGTTTCAGGAAACTTGAGGTAGCCTTCATCCTGCTGTGGAAGTTATATGTCTGTGCCAAAGGACACACCCCATCTGAGGCTTACACACTGAGCCAGCTGGACCTGTGTGGCTCCTAGGAAGAGAAAATACATCAGAACCAAAATGATGACATTTTAAGCCTTTCAACCAGTTACTTATGAGCCAGACCTGAAGCTTCAACAAAAAGCAAGATCAGACTCCAGACGGATTTGTAACCCTTCTCCAAACCAGAAGTCACATGATTAACTTCAAAGACTAACAGATTTTCCAGCCTATGCAATTACCAGTACCAAGACACAACCTGGTATTCCTGCTTGTTCTCATGGTAAATGTGTTCTGAGTGCAGACTCCACAGCATCTACATTCATGGACATTTTCTTTCCAAAAACAACCTCTTATTGCTTCTTCTCTTCCCACAAGTCCATGACAGATTCTGTGCCTTAGGTTTTAATGTGTCATGAGATTCAAGGTGAAGATCCTACTGGACAAGATCCTGACAACCTTTGTGGCTAGAAGTGACTTTATACCACCAACTTATACCTTGAACTCATATCAGATGAAGTTCTCTAACCTAACCAGGAATCAGAGGAGAGCCTCTGCTTCATGAACACCTGCTGGTGGTAGGAAAGAGGACCTGGGTTACAGAATGTGAGAATGTGGTGGGGAAAGGACAACCCTGCTGTCAAAACCATGTAACACACAAGCTGTAGATACATGAGTGAACATATTCCTGTGACAGTCAGTCAACATGGAAGTATTCGTCGCATCTGCCCCTAGATCATAGCTTAGAAGGCCCAGAATGTCTTTTATAGAAAGGCAATATTTATAAATGTAGTGATCTTTTATTTGCATTGCATCTTTATATTAAAGGCTTTAGGAATTTCAGCATATAAGAGTACCCTACCACTGAGGTAGTCTTGATTGAGAATACACTGTGGATGAGAGCCAGAGGAAAAGCTCACATTGTGGTTGCTGTTCAAGAGAATACCACTCTGGCTTGGTGGATTTTGACTGGGACATCCTTCAAATATTATGTTTACTCTGCAGAGTCTCCTATTTTAGTCTGGTGATGGTGGATATCAGGTTTGGGGTTCACCAGGCATCAGTGGCTCAGCTATGCAGAAGGCTAAGATCTGAGGATCAATGTTTGAAGCCAGCCTAGACAGGAAAGTCCATGAGACTCTTGTCTCCAATTAAGCACCAAAACAGCCAGAAAAGGAGCTATGGCACAAGTGGTAGAGTACTAGCCTTGAGTGAAAAATCTCAAGGACAACACCCAGGCCCTGAGTGCAAGGATCAACACCCAAAAAAAAAAAAAAAGCGTGGAGTTCTATTAATGTATTCCATTGACACCATGTAGGGTTTGTGTTCCTTTTCTCCACTAATTAAAGAATTTAAAGGGCAGAAGGAGCAAGGCCCCTATATATAGTAGGCTCTGGGAAGCCTTCTAGTACATTTTACTGTTCCTTTTGCTTTCAAATAAACATGCTTTAAACAGTAAATTGTACTCCCGGTACAAGAAGGGTTCCCAGAGCTGAGTGTCCACAGTCTCTCTCCCAGGGCCTTCTATATAGGGTCATTGCCTCCTCCTCTTTAGGGCATACTCCTGGTCTTTTTGGTTGAGAGGTGGACATATGCTACAGGAAGTCTCGTGATTGGTTCCCTCACATTTAAGCATGAGTGTGGAAGGGCTCCTGATTGGATGGAGGTTAGGGCCACAGACATTAAGGGCTCATGCATCTTGCCAAGTCATCCCCACCTTCTACATGTTGGAGCAGGTGTTGGCCACCATCTTCTACCTAGTCATGGAGGCCTAATTCACCTTCACCATTAACCACTACTTTGCTATGTACACACTAGAATTATCTTTAGGGCTAAGAAGGAAATGAGCCCAATTTAATCTGAAGTAGAGTAGACCCATTTGTTCTTTACCTAGAGACCCAAGAGGACTTCATTGAGCAGATTTTTCCCCCCTCTTTGAGCCTACATGATCAGATTTAGCCTTTGACTTTTAATTGCTTACTATTATTCTGTCACAGTTATACTTTGAACTTTGACCTTTCAACTTGCCCTTGATAGAAGTCACTAAGATAGTTGCATTGAAATAGCCCCACCCATTTCAAAGTCTTTTACCAACATTTAAACTGAATGTTAAAATTACTGTTTTACCTGGTGCTGGTGGCTCATATCTGTAATCCTAGCTACTCAAGAGGCTGAGCTCTGTGAGGATCATAGTTCAAAGCCAGCACAGGCAGGAAACTTCATGAAGCTCTTATCTCCAATTAAACACCAAAAAGCTAGAAGTGGAACTGTGCCTTAAGTGGTAGAACACTAGCCTTGAGCTGATACTCAGGCTCAGGGATAGTGCCCAGGCTCTGAGTTCAAGCTCCAACACACACACACACACACACACACACACACACAAATTACTCTGTCTTTCATAGGACACAATACCTTGTCATGTTTTACCTTACTCTTTGCAAGGCATTAGTAGAATTTATCAAACCTCTTCCTGTGGCTATTTCTATATTAATAATTGTAAGTTCTAACTCATCTGTTCCTGGAGCTTATTACAACTTCAATTCTTTTACTTGAAATGGGTAATCAGATTGGTCCAAGGAAATCTACATTGATTAGGTCTACTTAGTGCTCAAGAAAAACATGATTTGCTTTTTTTTTTTTTTCTGTTTCCAGCATAAGCCAATGGTCCTTAAACTTTGTTATGTTAATAATTGTAAGTTCTAACTCATTTGTTCCTGGAGCTTATTACAACTTTGTTATGTTACAACTCCTGGGAGAATGTCCTTTGAGTAACTCAAATAAAATATTGAGGCCCTGACAGGTAACATCTATGACAATGCAAGCTAGGTTTCTCTCAGTGGCTGTATTATAACTCACATATATCTGCCTCCATTGATATGACAGACAGATAGCATTTGCATAACTGAACATAGTTTCCCTACATCTGGCCATGGCAAACAAAGACACAGAAGCTGGTAAGAGTGACACTTTGGCCTCATACCCTGAAGCATCATTCTGGATCAGTAGAGAAATGATCAGGATTAAAAATGGATTTCATTTGATACTGACTTTGAAAAAGTCCAAGTTATGTGTATCAATATAGAAATGTGTTACCACCACCTACTTACTCTCCATCTACATATTATACATTTATAAACACTTGAGGAAAACCTCGTATTGTGGTTACACTGTTGCTGGAACACCCAACAAGCCCAGCTAAGCCCAGGAAGCCCAACTTGGGCTGCTGTCAAGAAACCTACTTGAGATGCTCATGCATGTGGAACTGCTCCTCACACTGAAGAAGCCATTAATGAGGAAGAGACAAGGATTTCTAAAGCAACCTAGTAAAGTCGCATTTCCCCCCCCCCCAATTTTGTATATATGGAATATATTTTTCAATAGAGATTTTTTTACTTTAGATAAAACATTCATGTTGCTGTCACTTAGGTTCAGTGTTGTTAGTGAAGACAAAAGGGAAGGAAAAACTAACTCATTGCTTTGGGAATAGTTTGAATCAATTTAGGTTTTATGATTAGTTTGCATACTGGAATTTATCTGTTTGTAAATTTTCCAATACAAATAATTTTGTAAGACTTTTTAAAAACTTGTGAATAAAACTGATACTTGTTATTCTTATTTACCTGTCCAATAAGAGAATGACTTTGTGGTTGTAAGTGTGTTGGTTGAGTTGGTTTTTTTTCTTAACAGAAGTACACACTAAGATCACTCTATGTCCTGCTCCTGCTCTTTTAGATAAGATAGAACCCTCTTTGCTCCTTCTTTCCACCCTAGGATGGTAATTTGAAGTCTTTACTAGTAAGCTAGTTATCTCCTTCAGGAAGATCAAGCTGCTGAAGGATTTTCTGCATTACCTTGAGAAGCTAGAATATTAAGACTTTATCAGAATCTTCCTCACCTCATTTTATGACACAAAAATGGAAAGAAGTTTGTTTTTAAGTTTTATAGGCATGTGTTAGTGTCTCATAACTACAGTCCTAGCTACTCAGGAGACTGAGATCTGTGGATCATAGTATAAAGCCAGCCCAGGCAGAGGTCTGTGAGGCTGTGAGGCCCTTTTCTCCAATTAAGCAGAAGAAAGAAAGACACACAGAGAGAGAGGATAGGGAGGGAGATAAGTGGAGCTCAAGTTCAAGTGGTAGAACATTAGCATTGAACAAAAAAGTCAACCCAGCACGTGAGGCCCTGAGTCCAAACCCCAGTACCAGCACACACACACACAGTTTTTTAGTCCTTTTCATTGGTGATCAGTTTAGTGCTCAGCTGCTGAAGAGTAGACCAAAAGAAAGATGAAGGAATATCCAGAAAACAACAGCACTTTCCCCTGGAACTTTCTTTTTCTTTCCCCTATCCACCTTCCTTTTTTCTTACTCTTTTCCTTTCCCTTAGCAAATCATTTAAAGCCATTACTAGATTACCAGAGTTTACATTTCTTGGGATTTTGTGGGTTGGTTCTTTGTTGTTGTATACTTGAGAGTGACACTATGTTCTCCAAGCTGAGTCGCTGGTGTTAAGGACACTAATTCCATGGAGAGAGGATACTGATTTTTTTTCCCATTCCCATCCCATCCCAGCCTCACCCTAACCCTCAGCTCACATGGACTTTCCTGGTATCCATGGAGATTAGTTCAGCTTAGGGGTAAACCATAAATCCATCAACTCTCAGAAAAATAACTCCAAACTTATGAGGCTCTCAGAGGAGGTCCTAAATAATGTGTAGCAGTATCAGCCACATATTTTCATCCTCACTGACATAATTAAGGTCTTTACAGTTGACTACTTGCTGTTCTGAATTAGTCCATCTCTCCCATTTTAACTTGAGAAGGTACTGTCTGGTTTTTTTTTAAACCAATTTGGCACCCACTGAGGTATGTAAGTAAAACTTAAATTATTCACATCAATCATTTTCCAACTAAGCGGTGGTCTGAGAATTTCCAACATCTTCTACTCCCCCTACTAAATCTCAGATCTACCATGAGATTATATGGACATAATCATGTGTGATCAGGGCAATAGTTCACTAAATGGTATCACATGTTAACCAAAGGAAGGCTCCAAAGCTTCTGTTCCAAAGAATGAGTGGGCTGTGAGCCAGGGGCTTTAAAAACCACCAGAACTATTTAAATCAGTGGGATTTATGGCTGAATTTGAATTAGCTTTGCCAGAGACTTGAAATTTTTTAAGCTTTCATTAAAAACACCTTCTCTAGAATTGTAGGTGGTCTTCTGGAGTAGGTTTTGCTTATTAATCAATAAAGAGAAGATTCTTCCTCTCCCCTTCCCTTCATTACTAATGGCATTGACTTGTCCTATTTCAAACTGAAGTAGTTGCATCCTACCATTTTGCTCAATTACTTAACCAGCGAGGGCTAACAGTAGACAGAAGATCTATAGGGAGCTCCATCAGCAATCTCTTAGTAGCAGGCACTATATCACCACTTCCCCAGGTCAGTTTCCCTGTAGAAAGTTCTGGAAAGCAAGATGAATTCCCCTCTGAAGACTCACTCTGGTGAGAGGCCATGTCCTAAGTCAATCTTGAGTTCAAGCATTCAATGCATGTTCACATTTGCTTTGTTCTAAACATGGTAGCAGCATTGAAGCAGACACGTAAACAGGAAGGTGACAGGCATTGTCTAGTTATTAAACAAGTCTTAACTGTAACAATGTGCAAACATTCTTGGGCACGGAGAACCTGCACACATCTGGGGATTCTCACAGCTCTGAGAGCTCCAATGGTGTCCCCAGAGCAGGCAGAATGGAAGGAGCTATAACTGCAGGAGATAAAGGCCCAGCTTGCAGTAGGGACAAACATGGCAGGGCTGGAGCATGAGGTGGCTGAGGCCCAAAGCTTCACCCTCCAGAGGACATTGTCTCAACAAGACACAACATGAAAACTAAAATCTCTGCTCTTCCAGAAGCTTGGAAATCACACAGATCAGGTTGGAGCTAGTCTCTCTTTTCAGGCAGAGATTCTTACCAATAAGAAGGGACTCTTGTCCAGCCTAGTGGTGCACAGTCCTCCTGGTTGGAATCCTCAGCTTGGACCCTCTCATCTGGGTTAGCTCGGTCACGTCTTGGCTTCCAGTAGACAGTGCTGAATGTTTGGTGTATGTTGAGGACTGAGCCAAACCTTCCACTGCCATCAACGAACATCCCACCAAGGTGAATACCCAAGGTGAGACTGACTCCTTCCTACACCTGTGGACAGCACCAACATCAGTTGTGGCCTTTCACCTTGGGGTCCTGCCAACCTACTACACTCCTGGCCACTCTGCCATTAGTTCTGTGTCAGCCTTTACAGTGGGCTGTTCTTATTTACCTAATGTTCCTGTCCATTTCTAAATCTCAGTTAGGGCTGAGAGCTGACATCTTGCCTATGTTTTCCTCACTCCCCAGCCTTGTCTTTGAAAGGCCATTCCTTCTGCTGTTTGGTCCTTTCCTCAAGATCTGAATCCCCAGGAAATCCAACGACTGTGAGACTGGCCTCTGCCTGCTGCCTCTGCAGCCTCTGGGCCCCTTGCTCCACTGGAGTACCTGTGCTCCAGGCTTGCAGCCACACTGATTGGTAGCCCTGAAGGCATAGGCCTCTTCTGACCATGTTCAAGACGCTTGAGCTACACAGAACTCAGTGAGACGCACCTAGCTTATGGACCCACTAGAGGTTGATTGCTAGTTTGAAGGAGCCCCAGAAACCTCCAGTGATCCACTTTTCACACGTGCATGGACTTTTATAATTTTGGAGGAGGGACCAGAAGCAAGCAGCAGCAGCAGCAGCAGCTCTCAGCTCTCCAACTGTGTGGCTAGACAGGGTGGCATCTTACTGCAGAAGGAGCATGTTGTTCTAGTGTCACTGAAATCTGTCATCACATCTCGAAAGATAAAGGCAGGGTCTGCAGTGTCTTTGCAAATGGAAGATTCTAGAAGAATGACACCAATGTGAGAAGTGGAAGAAGAAAACTGCTGTCATCTCCATCTCTAGACTTGCAGGAACACAGGCCCCAGAGAACTTGGTGCTGTCCAAGGGACCTGATGACCACTGACTGTCCCTGGGCTGCTTCTGCTCAAGGCTATCACTCTACCTTTTGAGCCACAGAGCCATTTGCAGGCTTTACTGAGTATTACTGGCGATGAGTCTCACTGACTTTCCTGCCTGGGCTGGCTTCAAACCATGATCCTCAGATCTCAGCCACTGGCACCTAGTGAGCCGATCACTTTTTTTTTTTTTTTTTTGAGCCGATCACTTTTATGTGCTGCAAAGGATTAACCTTCTTATGGTCTTGACTGAGCCACAGTTCCCAGATGCACAGTCAAATGCCAGTCATCCCATCACCACAAAGGTTTTTTTTTTTTAAGATGCAAATGATCTGTAAGCCCCATAGACTTTGAATAATAGAGGTGAAGGAGGTTCAGAGGACAGCACATCCTCAAGGGAGAGGGAAATCTATGTAAGCTGCCTGGAGAGCCTACACAGAAGCTTGAGCTCTGCCCCTCAGTCCCGGCGCCTGCAGCAGTCAGACTAGCAATCACACATTGATGTGTGAGTGAGCGGATTCCCCTAAATCATCCTCCAGATAGACAAATAGAAAGATAGGTCAAAAGATATATATGATAGCTATGCATGATGATAAGATATGCATGATGGATAAATGATAGATTTGATAGATAAGTGATAGAATTAGGCATGCTAGAGATGACTGATAGGATTATGATAGATATGTCTGCATGCATGATACACATGATAGATATGTGTAGATTCATATATTAATATAAACATACATAGGAAAGGTAGGAGCAGCTCTGTGTGTGTGTGTGTGTGTGTGTGTGTGTGTGTGTGTGTACTACATGCACAGCACTAATAGGACAAACTAACAGTGTTAGAAATAGCTCAGGATGTTGGGGTGTCACATAAGAAAAAGGACACCAACTTGAAAGGAACTTGGCAAAGCAAAGTTTACTTCTGCAGAAGGGTGCATTATCAGCCAAAAATTTGGTAGGTAAGCAAACAGAGCCAGGCAGGCTGCTTCCTTTTTATCCTGTAATCCAGCAGGCCCTGCCCCTCTGCTTGCATTGGCCGAGTTCAGGGTCAGAATCTGCAAATGGATGTGACTTAATGAACAGGATGCAACTCAAATTCAAGGAGCTTCTAATAGGCTGTCTTAATTAAAGTGCTCAGGGAAAAGATGTATGTACCTAAAATGTAACTAAGCAGGAACCCTTTGGAAATACAATTCTCAGGGCTGGGAAGGTGGCTCAGTGGTAGAGAGCTTGCCTTGCATGCCTGAGACCCTGGGTTCGATTCCTCAGCACCACATAAGCAAAAAGAAGAAATACAATTCTCTCAAGATCAACCTAGTTTTCTGATGATTAATTGGAGATGAGTCTCACAAACTTTCCTACCTGGGATTGCTTTGAACTGTGTTCCTCAGAACTCAGTTGCCTGAGTAGCTGGGATTACAGGCATGAGCCACTAACACCCAGCTTTAAATAGGATTTTGATGAACAAAATCCCAGAGTTGATAGTCCCACTACTTTCATACAGATTTTTTTTTCAGGTCCCCAGTAAGACAGAGTGAAAGACTGAATTGTAGCCATTGTAGCGAGGTGTTGGTGGCTCTCACCTGTAATCCTAACTACTCAGGAGGCTGAGATCTGAGGATCACAGTACAAAGCTAGCACCAGCAGACAAATCTGTGCGAATCTCCAATTAACCATCAGAATGCTATGTGGGAGGTATGGCTCAAGTTATAGAATACTAGCCATGAGTAAGAAAGCCAAGTAAGAACAGAAGAAAAGCAAGTTTGCAGTTGAAAGGTTGCAAAAGCTATCCAGGATTCCTGGAAGTCACTTGATTCCATTTTTCTCTCTTGAAACAGTAGAGAAGAAAAATGTGATAGTCACATGCAGTAGAATATTATGCAGCTTTAAGCAGAAGACATTCCTGATACATGATGCTATATAAATGACCCTGGAAGACATCATGATATTAAAGAAACCAAACTCAGAAATACAGATGTGTGTCTATGCTTCCATAAGGTGCTCCAAACCTACAGTCACAAAGTAAAATGGGTTTCCTGCGGGTAAGGAGAGGAAAAGGAGGGATATGTACAGTTGGTTGAGGATGAAGAAAAGGTTTGGGGCACAATATTGCAAATGCACAGTGGCACTGAACTTACAACTAGTTAAAATGGTGAAATTTGTGTCATATCCATTTTACCACAATATATATTTTACTTATACATGTTTCTAAATTTTAATCAACATAAAATAGCATATATTTACCATGTATGTTATGATTTTTTTTCCAGCAAAGGGATTTCAACTCAAGGCCTTGCGCAAGCTAGGCTGGCACTCTACCACTTGAACCACATCTCCAGTTCAGCTTTTGGCTGGTTATTTTGGAGATGGAGTTTTCTATCTGGGCTGGCATTGAACCATGATTCTCTGGATCTCAGCTTCCAGAGTAGCTAAGATTATAGGTATGAGCTACTGGCACCAACTAAATTTCTTTTTTTGGGGGGGTGGGGGGGGCCCGGTTGTGGTGCCTGAACTCTGGGCCTGGGTGCTGTCCCTCAGCTCTTCAGCTCAAGGCTAGCGCTCTACCATTTGAGCCACAGCTCTACTTCCGGCTTTTTTCTTTTTGCTTATGTGGTGCTGAGGAATCGAACCCAGGGCCTCAGGCATGCAAGGCAAGCACTCTACCACTGAGCCACCCTCCCAGCCCCTCTCTTAGCATTTTTCAAGAACAGAACATATTACTCTTAAACATATTACTTTATTCCAAAATTTCATATAATTTGACTGACGTCTTCCTGATGTTGCTCCTCCCAGCTTTGCGAAGCCACTGATTCCACTTTCTTCTTTCATGAGACCAACATTTTGTGATTCTGCATGTGAATAAAACCTGGCTTCAGAGAGAAACCATCTATGTTTCCAGTAAGTGGTAGATTCACTGGTTCATGGTGGAGTAGTATTCCCCTTTGTATACATGCTAGATTTTCTTTATCCCATCTTCAGTTGATGGACATTTAGGTTGTTTCCATGACTTGGCTATGGTGAACACTGTTGCAAGGAACAGGAGAACACAGGTGTCTCTCTGACATACTGATTTCATTTCCTTTAGATACATACCCAAGGGTGGAGATCACGGGATACATAGTTTTATCTTTCCTTCCTTCCTTCCTTCCTTCCTTCCTTCCTTCCTTCCTTCCTTCCTTCCTTCCTTCCTTCCTTCCTTTCTTCCTTGCCTTCTCTTATTCTCTTTCTCCTTTTCTTTCACTAGTACTAAGGCTTGAATTCATGTCCTGGGTACTGTCCCTTAGCTTTTTCACTCTTGTCTGGTGCTCTACCACTTGAGCCACAGCTCTGATTCTGGCTTTTTGTTAATTGGTGATAAGAATCTCAGAGACTTTGCTACTGCATTGGCTTCAAACTGTGATTCTCAGATCTCAGCCTCCTAAGTAGCTAGGATTACGAGCATGAACCTATTCTTTTTGGTGAAAATTTATACTGTTTTCTTTAAGGGCTGCACTAATTTATGTCCCCACCAAAGGGGCCATAAATCATATAAAGGCTCCCTTTTGTCTGTATCTTCACCAGCCCTTGTTTTCCTTAGTGTTTTGGAGAATAGCCATTCAGTTATACATTGGGAATGTTCCCCAAGAACTCACAACCTAAAGCTTTGGTATTCATCCTGAGATACTACTGGGAGGGGGTAACTCATATAGAAGGTGACATCTACTAGAAGGAAGTTAAGTCACTGGACTATGTACTGGCGGGGGATTATGGGAGCTAGATTCCCCGCCCCCCTCTGCTTCCTGACCATCATGGGACAACAGGCTCTTCCTCTGGAGGTAGTCCACCATGGTGTACTATGCTGCCACAAGCCCAAAGCAACAGGGCCAACTCACAAGGCGCTGACTAGGCCCTGAACTCTGAAACTGTGGGCCATAAAGAAACTTTCCACCTCTAGATTGTGTCAGGTATTTTGTCATGGCAACAGAAAGCTACTAGAATTTATTAAATGTGAGGTCATGTTTTAAGTGTGAGGTAATCCAGTATATTACTAAAGCAGGATTCTCAAGGGACCAGTTTGGGCCTATTGGACAATGCCCCAAAGCTGCAAATGAGAACAAACTCCCCAGGTGGCTCTAAGGTGACATTTTTAGCTGTCCTACTACCCTGTTGCACTCTACATATGAGCCACAGCTCCACTTCTGGCTTTTGGCAGCTAATTGAAGATAAGTCTCATGGACTTATCTGAGAATCCTGATTCTCAGATCTTAGCCTCTTGAGTAGCTGGGATTACCAGCACCCAGCTTTGCTGGGACATCCTAACTGAGGTCCTGGCTCCTTGAAGAGCTGGAATTTCTTTTCTCTCTCTCTCTCTTTTTTTTTTTTTTGCCAGTCCTGGGGCTTGAACTCTGGGCCTGGGCACTGTCCCTGAGCTCCTTTTTTGTTCAAGGCTAGCACTCTACCACTTGCACCACAGTGCCACTTCTGGCTTTTTCTGGTGGTTAATTTGAGACGAGTCTCACAGCCTTTCCTGCCTGGGCTGACTTCAAAACACGATCCTCAGATCTCAGCCTCCTGAGTAGCTAGGATTACAGGTGTGAGCCACCAGTGCCCACTGAAAGCTAGAATTTCTTATAAGGCAGAGGTGATGGCTGATCTCCCTTTATGTCACCCAGGAAGCTTGCCCAGGCAGTTGGAGGTAAGGCTGGACAGTTTAATAAATCAAGTTATTTCAGTGGCTGGGAGATGATGGTAAAATACTCTTAGGTTAAGCCTTAGGCCTTGAGGCAGGGTGGGAAGTAGAGTGACTTCCTCCTTTTCTGGGCTTTGTTTCAGTACCTGGAGTCTAAAGGATGTTTAGAGTTGAGGAGGGCCCCATTCCCAGAGGATACAGCCTGACCTGCCCTCCAGCCCAGAGCATCTGAGGCTCAGACACTGTCCAGGAGAAGGTGTGCTGACCACTGACAATGTGGGGGAAGGATATGGTGACCTACTGAGTCACTTCCACTAGTGGGGTCTGTCCCAGTGTGATTCCTACCCAGTCCCTCAGTCAAGTCAACATAGCCAGCACTGACTGGTCATGTGTGGGTCAGATTCAACCCTTCCTGTCCCTGACAGGCATGTGGTCTTCCAGAATTTCTAAAGATCCAACCTGAAGCCAGGTGTTAGTGACTCATATTTGTAATCCTAGCTACTCAGGAGGCTGAGATTTGAGGATCATGGTTCGAAGCCAGCCTGGGCAGGAAAGTCCACAACACTTTTATCTTCAATTAACCATCTGCAAATGAAACTGGTACAGCATCTGCCTTGAGTGAAAAAAAGCTAAGGGACAGTGCCTAGGCCCAGATTTCAAGCCCCAGTACCACACACACACACACACACACACACACACACACACACACACACACACACACGCACACACACACACACACATACACACACACATCTGGGCCACAAAAAGCTATCTTTAGAGTTATCAACAAGCTATTAAAAAAAAAGAGGAAGAGGAGGAGAGGAAGAGGAGGAGTCATCAAGTTCCTGAGAAGACAAAGAGCCAACATGGAGGCCAAATATATGCAATGGATGTAGAAAGGAATCATAGGAAACATTGGATCCAGCACACTCTCTAATCCCACCATTATTCCATGTCCCTATGGCTCAATCCACTCCTCAGGAAGCAGAGGGCAGCCACGCCTCACCTTTATAAATACAATTGAAATTTTTAGTAGAAGGAGGTGCGTGACAGGTGACAGCGTCGCCTGGGCTCAGTCCTGCCCTGCCTGTTCTTTGAGAAGCTGAAAGCCCACCCATCACTGTTCAGTAAAGCTGTCTATACTCTCTCAGCAAATAAAGACTATCTAAGAAAAAAGAAAACAACTCATAACTTTTTTAAAAATAAGTTTTTTATTGTGAAAATACTATACAGAGGGGTTACAATTATATGAGCAAGGTAATGAGTACATTTCTTATCAAGCATGGTTGTCTCCTTTGTTTTTCCCCTACAATCCCTTCCCTCCCATCTCCAAAAGTACACTCCTTCCCCCAACTCATTACTTAAAAAAAAAAATCCAAGAATTAAGAACTGCTATTCCTCAAGCTGAGGCTCTGTTCATGTAAACTTGCTAGAAGTGTATTTGCAGGGATAGAGAAGTCACTAAGAAAAAAAAAAGGAAGTAGCTGAGAGAGACCAACACAAAGCCATCTTCTACAAAAGTCTCACCCCAAAGGAACCTACCTAGCCACCATGAGCAAGAACCAGCAGATATAAGACAGGGCAGGGGAAAGCCAGGCCCTGGTGGCTCACAGCTGGAATCCCAGCTTGAGTAGCTAGGATTGAAGCTGAGATCTGAGGAATCTGTTTGAAACCAGCCCAGGCAGGAACGTCTGTGAAATTTATCTCCAGTTAACCAAGAATAAAGCCACAAGTGAAACTGTGACTCAGGTGGTAGAATACGAGCTTTTGAGCAATAAAAGCTCAGGGATAGCATTCAGGCCCTGAGTTCAAACCCCAGGACTAGGGCACGAAATACAGAGCAGAGTAGATGGCTATGTAAAAGCACAAAGCCAGGGAGAGTGTAGAAAAGAACAGAGAATCTTAATAAATGAATGCAGATGTTTAAGTATTAGGGGAAAAAAACTGTAAAAGTAATTGGAAAAATAACAAAAAAGAACTCTGTGTGTGTGTGTGTG